AATGGAGGACATGCAAGTGGGATTGAAGCACTTTGTGCTTGAGTTTTCGAAAGTGAGGCGCTAGTCAATTGGTAAGGCTAATGGCCGCTGTCATGGCCCTGAGGAGATTGAGTGCATCGTAGTTCTTCCCCATGAAACTGACAGGGATGCCCATCATCACTGCGACTCGTTCAACCGTTTCAATGGCCTCTGACGGTTGATTCGCCCACCATTCTTCGGTTTTAGCGATGTTGTCCATGAGGACTTTCCTTTTGGGTTCCGATAGTGGGAGATCTTTGAACCATTTGTTGAAAGCTCGCACTGCAAGAGCGGTTGGCATATGTTGGGCTAACCACGGGTTGAGTGTGGTGGTGCCGACCAGCAGGGAGGATGGATCGAAGCCTGGTGGTGCAGGAGGTGCTGGACTTTGAGAATTCCTCATGAGGGCTGCTTGGATGGGTGTTGAAGCAGGGCTCGAAGCTGAGGGACCCGTGTTGCCTGGGGTTGATGGTTCGCCCGTGTCTTCGCCAAGCTGCTGACGCAGCTGTGCCAGCTGGCTCCTGAGTTGGGTGAGCTCATGCTGTGTGTCTGGATCTGCTGTGCGGGTTGGAACCCAGCTGTGGATGAGATCAGCAACTTGTTGTGCCGCATACTTGGTGTTGTTGGTCTTGTCCAAGAGCTTTCCATCTTGTCTGGCCCGGCTGGAGGAGACCTTGTCCAGATCTACTCCTTTGTTTCTGAGCTGCGTTAAGAGCTCAGTCATGAACACAACTGCTGCGATGTCTCCTGTAGGGATCAAGTAGAGTTCACGTCCATGAGCCAGCTTGCGAAGCCAGAAGTTGTTGGCTTGCTGATACAGCAAGGCCGCTACTGGCAGTTTCAAAGGATCACATCCTTCAATGTCCAACTTTTGCGTGAAGGCGGATTGACGAATGCTTCGTGGAAAGGTCAAGCCGTTGATCTTCTGATTGTCGTAGTGATCTTTGTCCTCTTGCCAATGAGGATTGAGATCGAAGCCATATGTCCGGTTGTCGTCAAATGTTGTGTGACCTCCTGGTGAAGTCATATGTGGAGTACCGGCATGATGAGGCTGGGACGAAGGAACGGATGGAGTGCTGGGTGAGACAGCTTGAGTTGGTGGACACGGCAAGGTAGGTGAGCAAGGTGGAGTGGCCAGGCGAGGTGGAATTGAATATGCAAGAGTTGGTGGAGGTGATGATGGAGGTGCAGGTGGAAAACGTGGATTGGGCCATGTGCCCGGCAGGATGGAAGGATTCAGGCTTGTGGATTGATTCGAAAGATAAGCTCCCGACTGTGGCATATTGAACTGAGGTCGAAACTGAGGTTGAGACTGAGGTCGTGACATTTGCTGTGAGTGCCAGACAGCCGTTTGCATAGGTCCACACCAGCGAGGGAAGAAAGGTAGTTCTTGTCGTACCGGTTGAACTGGGCCACGAGGTTCAGCACGGTTTCGTCCAGGCACTGGGGATCGAGATCGATCCGAGTCCGCCATTGAATCACGAAACGAGGTCTTTTCAGTAGGCTGTGAGGCAAACCAAAATTGCAAAAGTTCACGAAGATTCAATCAAAGTCAGGAACACGAAAAGTGAAAACAATTAAGAAGCAAATTCAGAAACCAAACATGACAAATTCTTCCAGCAAGATACAATTACAACGCAGTGCATCGGAATTGACATCACCTGGATTCCTGAAGTAAGTGGAAAATTCAGATTGGGGCAACCGTGCTTTTTTGATCACAAGCGTGTCCAGGTTGTCCCTAGAAAAGTCAGATTCGGAAGCTAATCATACATGATAACAACTGCTCAGTGCTGAGTGCCTGCCATCAACGACGACCTGAGTGACGTTCCTCATTGCTACGATAGTTATAATCTTCTGAGGATGTGTCGGCGACGTCGATCTTCATGGTAAGGTTTTGCCACTTGAGAGCGACGAATTTCAATCCCACATGGTTGCTGTGGGCAATCGTGTACTTCTCGGAAGTGGTGACTATTCCTTTTTCCATCACACCAATCTGCGCCGTTTCGTTGCCTCCAGCTTTGTAGGCGGTATGGTCGGTGGACCCTCGATACATCGCCCCGATGACGATGTCTTGCTGTCCCTTTCCTTTCTTCTGGATGGTATCAAGTAGCTCTCTTTCCGCCCAAGGTGGGATCGTTTTGTCACTGTTGGATACTTCCCTGCCAAGGTAAAATGCCCCAAAGGTTGGTAAGTCGCAACGTTGAGGGTTCTTCTGATAGGACCAGTTTGCTGGTCTGATCTTGCCTTCAAGAAGGATTTGCTGAGAAGTGTGAAGTGACGTCCCATGGAGGAGTGCCCATGTGTGATTTTGACGTTTGCCGAAGGGAGATGGCATCTGGAAGTGGCTGGTATCGGGTAATGGCATGATGAGTGCAAGCATGTTGGTGACTGGAAGTTCTCTGACGTGGCAAGTTGATAGATCGTAGTCGGGCAGAAGGTTGGTGCTGAAAAAGAGTGCCTTCTTGAACTTCTTGATAACATCCGGAGGGATCCGATGGTCAACTTGATGAAGCTGTTCACAAGCCTTTTCGTAGTCCTCCTGGTCCATTGTTGTTGACGGCTTGAGTCGTTCGGCAGCAGGAATTTCATTGGCCGCACGCATCCTGTCAGGATGACTCAAGGCAAATTTGATGTTTCGAGCCCACTCATCTCTCGAACCATCTTGAAGGTTGATGGCAACACGTCCTGGAGGGACATTGGTAGAGCCATGGGATTGGACTGAACCTGACCTTTGTGGTGGTCTGCGTGGTTGGTGGTATGTAGTGTTGGAATCAGAGGAGAATGCTGTGAGTGGTTTGGTGGAGGAGTCGTATTGGCTGTGATAGCTGGCTGGTGGTTTTGTGTAGTCAATCCAACCTGAAGCGTTGGATGTATTGGAGGACTTGGGATAGTCTTTCCATTGTCCCCAGGATTGCCACTTGTTGGTGGTGTGTTGGTCGTAGTGGTAGGAGTGTGACTGAGTGTTTGTGTTGTGGAAGGACTGTTGTGGGTGGTGTTCCCACGTTGCAGGTTGGAGATTGGCTGGCGTATGAGTGGATTCTTGTGGTGGATGGTCATCTTGTCCTCGATGTTGTACTTCTCGATGTCGTGGGGAGGCTGAACGCAGAGTGATCGACGTAGCCCTGCTTGGTCGTCTGGAAGCATGTCTCGATGTGGAAAGTCTTCTTCTGGATGAGGATCGTGGTCGAGACGAACGACGGGTTCGTCTTGTGGATCTATGACGAAGAGGACTGCGAGGGATGAAGACCGGACGTTTGTCATGTCTCCTGGATCCAGAGCGATGACGTTGGGATCGGGATCGTCGATGGGAACGTTGATGTGATGTTGGAATATCATCCGGTGGATGGGGATGGCTGGAAGTGTGTGGAGAGACCGGAATTGGTGGATGAGAAGGTGGTGGAAGGTGGCTCATGTTTCGGTCTTGAGTCTTGTCCACAAAGGCCTGGATACTGGATTCGACCGTGTTCTTCATCTGCTGCATCATCTCTTCCGGATTGAAGGATACACTGGATCCAGGTTGTGTGGATGGAGGTGCCAAAGGTGTTGGTGGTTCTGACGCTTGTGTTGTGGGCTGCGGTGGAGGTGGAGTGGGAGTGGATTGATGGAAAGGGATGAGCTGTTGAAGGTGTTGGATGTGAGACTGAGCCTGTGACGCAAGTTGCTGATTGAGGATGGAATTTTGCTCTCGGAGGTGTGCAAGTTGTGCCTGAGTCTGAGCTTGAGACTGCTGATTCATCACATCACCACCATAAAATTGACCTTGAAGTCCCATCGGTTGCGGACTCCATCCAAAGTTCCACATCGTGTCAGGGACGTTGGGAAACCGTCCAGGAAACATGGCAGCACTGTCAGGTTGTTTAAGTGAAAAAACTAGTTCAAAACAGAAGCATCCACATTAGCGTGCAAGTTTCCCCTCGTTAGGCTCAATGGCCAGAGTTCAAATCAACCCTGTAGACAGCTGAAGTATTCAACCCTTGAATTACGTGCACAATTGAACCTCACCAACGACCAAAAAAGAAGAAAGCACCATACCTGCAAGCATGTCCTCTTGCCTGATTTTTCATGTGAAAGGCTGCGGTCAGTCTCTTGAGGTAACAGAACGGATGTTGACGCAGCTTCAGTCTACCAACCCTTGAGCCCTCGGCAAAAAAGTGAGTCCCAGGCACAGCGGGCCACTGTTCAACACATACTTGACGATCGACAGGTGAAACCTTGAAGTAAGGCCAGCCGTTTCACTTTACTTAAACGAATTACTAATTCAAAAGTGTGAATTCGGACATCGTTTTACCGTCAATTGTTAGCCTGGAAAGGCTTTCCCCGAAGGGTTCATACCATCTTGACGAAAATCGGTATGAAGGACACACTTGCTCAGAAATAGCTTATCGAATTATTGATGTGGAATGCATCGTACGTGCAAAATCACCTCAGTTAAACCTGACAGGAAAAAATTGGATGACCCAACGTGATATTCAGTGCGAAGTATGCTTTCTACGTCCTTGCTCGAAGGATCAACTTGTTCTGATGCAGCTCAGTCTAGAATAAACCATAGAATGTACAGACTGCGACAACAGTGCAGAAAAATGAAAATTGACGACAAGGAGGTTCTTGGGTTGAGCCTCTTCCCATTTTTGAAAGTTAGCAGGTACGTGACAAAGGCGTCCCTTCGTCATATCACAGCAAATGATGAAGCGTCTTCGTTGAGTGGTGACTTCATCATTGCTCACCACTCCCCTGCATCTGATAAATGAAATGACGGAAAATAGCCGAAATGAAAGGAAACCATCCATGTCAATCAGTACAAAAGTTAGAAGTTTTACATCTTTTCAGATGTTCCACACACACACACAAACTCACCCACCATCACCCCTCCATCACTCTTATACTTCCTCTTCCCTTCTTGCTTTTCTATGCTCAGTCTAAGTCTAGAGAAGTTGGTAACATGTGGGGTTATCCGGTCCTATAATTTATGTTTTTGTGGGCAGGTTTTGCGTGCTTGATGCCCGTGCTGTTCTTGGCAATTTGTACATGGGTGGTTCTGGTGCATCTTCCCGCCCGCTTGGCCAGGTGAGTCTCCGGCCAAAATAGACCGCTGTGTGCAATGAGACGGGGGCTGGGAGGGCATCCACGACAATGCTTTTCAAAGAAAGCAATTACTTAAACTCATAACAACACCGGAAAGAGACCCCAAACAGTGTGGGGGCTAGGAAGTCAATGTACCATATACATGCAACAGTAGGTGTGGAACAGCAACAGATGAGGTTAGTCATGATCGCAACTGCAGCAGCAGGACCTTCTATATTATATATAGATTTCTTTAGAGGAGCTCACGGGATCTTCATACAAGAACTTCCTATTAGCATCCCAGAAAAACTTTCAGACAAGCACCAACGCAGAGGATCTTCAAGATCTTAACGCAAGGACCCCGAGGAGGATGTCAACAGGATCTCCACAAGATCTGCGCACAAGGACCTGCACGAGACCATGTAAGGACACCTAGAGGATTTCACCGGGACCTCTTCAAGAGCTTCCCACAAGGACCTGTACAAGGTCATGCAAAAAGGTTTCTGACAGCAGCGCGCTGGGACACACGAGAGTTACTCACAAGGACGTGTAAAAGACTTGGACCAAGATCTTCATGCCAGGGCCCCTGAGAGAAAGTGACAAGATCGTCATGAAAGGACCTGCTGCTGCTGGAGCGGATCTCACAAGATCTTGACGCAAGAACTTCCCAAGAAACCCCCACAAGAGCTTTCATACAAGCACCTGTAAGACATGGCATCTGCAAGATCTGCATGAAAGGACCTCTTAGAGAGGATCGCACCAGGATCTCTACAAGATCTTCTGTGAAGGACCTGCGCAGGATGATGCAGAGCATTCAAGATCTTAACGCGAGGCCTCCTTTTAGGGAGGATTTGGACAGGATCTCCACAAGATCTTCCCAGAAGGACCTGTACATGTCATGCAAGGACACCCAGAGGATTTTACTCACAATGTCCTGTACAAGATCACGCAAGACAGTATTTCGCCAGGATGTCCACAAGATATTTTCACAGGGACCTGTACAAGATCATGCAATGACCTCTTAGATGATTTCAGCAGGATCACAAGATCTTCTCAGAAGGATCTGTACATGGGAGGATTTTCCGCAAGATCTTCGCACATGGAGCTGTGCAGATCATGCAAGGACCTCTCGGAGAGGAGCCCGCCAGGATCCCCACAAGAATCTCACAAGACCTGTACAAGATCATGCAAGGACCTCTCAGGGAGGACTTTGCCAGGATCTCCACAAGAGCTTCTCACAAGGGCCTGTACAAGATCCCATTTTATTAGCCGCGCATTTTGTGCGAGCCTGCGCAGTCGAAATGCACTTGGACATCTCAGAAGGTGCATGTTTTGTGAGAATTTACAGGAAAAATGCCGCGCCCCAGAAATCAGCCGCACGTTTTGTTGGAGCCTGCGCCGTCGAAAATCATTTGGACATCTGAGAATAACTATTTTGTTGAGAATTTCCAGGAAAGTGCCGCGCCCCAGAAGTCTGCCGCAGGTTTTCTGCGAGCTTGCGCAGTAGAAATGCGCAAAGAGTAAAATGCCGCAGACCAAGAGCGAGCAAAACTCGCGGGGCAGACTTTGTGCGAGCCTGCGCAGCCGAAAGGCTGCCAGAATTCTCACGAAAAATGCCGCGTCCCAGGCGCTAGCTGCACGTTTTGTGCGAGACCGGGCAGTCAAAATGCACATGGACATTTCACAAGAGCCATTTCATGCGGAAATTCTAAGGTAAGACCCGCAGACCAAAAGCAAGTAAAACTAGCGGGGCAGACTTTGTGCGAGCCTGCGCAATCGACATGCACTTGGACATCGCATTTTTTGCGAAAATTTGCAGGAAAAAAGCCGACCAACAGCTGGTGCACCCTGATCAAGCACCGGCCTTTCCCCTGACCGTAAGAATCCCTCAGTGTGGATACCCTGTGTTGGGAAAATAGCGTTTGGATTGAATGGGCTACCTGGGTATCGGTTGATTATAAGACTTGGGATGTCACCTCACCCACCCGTTGACCAACTACCTAATGATGGCGATGACGGGGTGGGATCGGGGTAGCATTCACTGCGAGGTCAGATGCAAAATGTTTGGAGAGCTACTCCTTCCTGATCCGCCGTTTCCGACCTGGCGCTGAGATTGCTTCAGTGCTTTTTCTTGTGAGAAATGCTTTGGTGGTGCTGTGCCCCTTAGCCACCTCCACACCTGGGCAGCTGGCCATGATGACTTTGATCTTTTATGTACCTGGTTGCGAATTAGCATTGCATAGATTGTCAGTGATTTTTGCAGAACTGGACGGGCCAGGTGTATGTGCAAACATTATCTCATATTTTTCATACATGTTCCGGCGGGTCTGTCACCGTCCCACAATTATAAGAAAATGGTGCTTTCATCATGGCGAAATTTTGATTTTGGTCGTGCAAAATGCATCATAGATGTTTATGTTTTTTCTTGGGGACGTGAGCCCTTGCAGAATTTTTGATTTTTTTTTGGTTCCCAAAAGCGCAGCGAGCTGGCCAATGCAATTTTGCCGCGAATTGTCTTAAGCCATGATCTTCCTCAAGGCACTGCAAGAGACGTGGCGGTTATATGAAGTCAGTGGGTTTGTTTGAAGTCAGCAATGTATATACGAACGTGTACATGAACTTTACTGCCCCACCCCAACCCACCTCACCTGTACGGACCTGTGAGGTAACATTGCCAAATTTCATCAGCACATATGGGTGGCGTTTATTATCCGCAAATCACACTGATGACATCAATAAGCGACTGGATTCTTAAAAATAGTCATGTCAGCACCTGCAAAAGTTAGCTTTAGGTCTCTCAAGTGGCCAAGGTTCTTCTTTATTGACAACCTGGCCCGGCATGGACCAAAACCCGCCGTCAATTGGGTCACACCTTTGATTGGGGAATCCCGGATCCAATGTTACGAAAGATGCTTTTCTGAAGCAGAAGGAAGCGGGGCGGGGTCGCACTTAGACATGGTAAAGGCACAACTTTGGGCGCGCGCAGATCCAAAGCTGATGCTGCTTAGCCAGTTGCACCAAAAACCACTCACTGGCAAGTTGAAGGAGCACCTCGCGCATGGTCAGTTGAAAAAGTTTGCAACTTTTTGACAAAACAAGAGTGGAAAGATGTCACTGCACTCTCAAATGCCAGAGGATGGCAGGTCCGTGCCACCGCTCCCAACAACGATGTTTGTCACATTTATGAAACCAGTGAATATACAATCATTGTCCACCATGCTGGCCGGCGACCTATCAAGAGGAAGCAAAAAAAAACATAGCCAAGGCAGGCACCGACCTTCTTCCCAAACCTACCTCTTTTGGGGAACAAAATCATTAATTGTGCGGATGCCAAACCAGCGCTGCCTCCTGTGGAAGCAACGCTATTGTTCACACAGGATGAAGCTACTAAACCCACGCAAGATGATGACAAAATGGGAGCTGAAACTAAGAGAACTCCCGAAGAAGCAAAGAAAGCACCTGAAGCCAAAGACCTTTTTCCGACAAGAAACGACTTAAGACAGAGAATGGGTAGCAAGCCCCTGACAAGCCTTTTGGTCATCCAATGTTGGATGGGGGTGGCCAAGGCGACTGCTGCTATAGAGCCGCTTCCGTGAGCTATGCAATAGCAACAGGCAGGGACCTGAAATGCCAAGAAACTGGGTGCCGCTCTGTTTTTCAATCAGGCATGGTGCCCAGACCCTATTGGACCGAACAAACCGAGGGGGGGCCGATACCAACCTCTTACGAGGAGTGGCTCGAAGCCAGAGCTCGACCGGGCAGATGGGTCTGTGGACACTCTCATAGGGATTTCTTCCAGGTTAAAACGCGACCTTGTAAGGGTTGCCTTCATTGCACCACGTGTGGAATTCTTAGCCTTCGCCGTTGGCAAGCATTTTGGCTTGGAACCAACGAACATTGGATGTGGCGTCCTTCTTGAAATGCCGAAGTGCCAAGCGGTATAACTTTAGTGCCAATGACCACCGTGGAGGAGCTAAGAGCAAAAAGAGTTTTACGAGTTGGCTACCTGCCAGCAGTGCATCTAGCTCTTCCGGTAAAAGACGGGGGACTGCTGTCAGTGTGGGGCACAACACGCTTTGTGGCTCCCGCCTTCATCACACTACAGCGAAGCAAGTCAGGGCTCGCTTTGCACGTCCTGTGCCTGTAGATATAGCCGCCCTGCACCCAAGGAAACCGATGATGATTTGCCAATGCGACCACCTGTGGCAGATGAAAGGCCTAGAAAGAAACGGGCCGCAAGAAACTCCTGGACTTGCGATGATCAATGTGGTCGTTTCACTGGTGTTACTGCGAGCCAAAACAGAGCTGATCAAGTGGAATGCCCACTGTGTGATCTGGAAATCAGCAAAGACATGATTGACAGAGATGTGCACTATAGCATGCGAATGGAGCATCGTGAAGCTGATCACCCCAAGGCTGGCTCAAAAATGTTCCTCCTCCAAGGGAGCAATAAAGGGTTTGCCAAGGCCACGTTGGCCAAAAATAGCGCTGGCGTCTCCAAACGTTTACTGGCTACTGGCCTTAAAAGCCGGCGGTCAAGGAGACCACGATGTAATTTTTCCCAGGTTTCCTCCAACTCCCGGGAACACAAAAGTGAAAAAAGGCCATTACACGACCAACGCGATGTGTAAAAAATGTGCAGCCATCTCTCACTCTTTGCCAGGACTGAAGAAAATGAGATGCGATGTGGCCGGCGGAGGCGGGCCCAATAGTTGCAAACTTTTGGTGCGGATCAGAGCAGCGATTGATGACAAAACTATTCCTGATGAGCTGAAGAAATAGTTTTGTACAACTTTGTCCTGGATCGAACCTTACAATGCCGCGCAGGGTGAGCATGACATTGCGGCCTTGCCCTGGCCTCTGCAGCAACTTGAAAAAAATCATATGCCAAAAATGCCGCCAGGTGCCCACTCGCAGGGCACACATTGCGAAGTCAAAATGCACCGCTAGCAGTGGATCGGGGCCAAAAAAAGCATCCTTAAATCCGAAAGCTGGATGAAGCTTACAAAAAGCCAGAGGGGCCAACAGTGATGCAATCACTTTTCCCGAAACATCTTGGCAGGACATGCGGAAATTCCAACACCTAATAATGGAAAACATGACTGAAGCTCTTCAGAGACGTTCCGAATTGCCACACTCAACGTGCGAACTTTGAGATGCAAATTAGGTGCTGTTTCCGATACCGCTGTTTCCCAAAATATTGATATTTTATCTTTGCAAGAGACACGGCTCAATGAACATACACTGCAGTGCAGAAAGTTGAAAAAAGGCCCCATGGAATTGTCATGTAAGGTCCCAGAACCAAACCAGTGCAAGCTTAAAGTACACAGGCCGCAAATGCGCCCTTTCCTTTTGTTAAATTGCTAGTTCCATGCCTCCAACGCTTGACCAACCAACGCTTGGCGGCAAATTGTGTGAAAAGCCGCCCGGAAACTCCGCATGTCTTGCATCAGAGTCAACCTCCAGTCGTTCTCCATCTTGGTCCGCTCCATCCGGCACGTAGCGGATCAGTCTGTTGAGGAAGAACGCCTCCTTGTCGTCCTTCTCGCCATCACCAAGCTTTGCCTCCCACCTCGCCGTGTACTTCTTGTTGAGGACCTCATCCAACCACATAAGAGACTCATCAGTCCCCACAGCCACAAAGTCATCTCCGTGTACCAGTCCGATCAAGTCCTTCTCCTTGAACTTGTACATGGCGGGGCAAGTCTTGCTGAAAGCAGCTGGACAGGACAACTGGTTTCCGGCCAGCTGGAACCAGTTGCCACTTCCTTTTTTCGACTATTTAGCCCAAATGATGACGGTTGCCTTCAAGGTACCCCGCTGCCTAATCAATGGAAGCAAGTGAGAGTTACCTTGATTCCCAAGCCTGATCAAAGCCAGAGACCGCTGAGCATAGCGATGTGTCAGCAGTATTGAAAAACTTGCGACCTGGCTGCCATCTGAATTTTTTGGCGCTGTGCCTGCGCAGGGCATACACGATGCCCATGCAGTACTTTTTGATGACCTTTTTGTGGCTCTCGAAACTCTAGCTGCTAGCCGTGGGCTAGTGGGAGCCAAAGCGGATATCCGCAAATATTTTGATTCAGCCAGTCCTCAAGCTGCCCTGCCGGTCTGGAAACATTTGGGAGCCCCGCCAGGTGTTCTCCATGTCCTGAACCAGTTTTATGACAAGCAGTGCCGGTGGTATGCCATGCGGGACTGTTCTGCGGCGCAACTTGTCATGGCAGCGCCCAGTTTGTTGCAGGGCTGTCCCGCCAGCTCGGCTTTGTTAAATGCATTACTGACAGTTTGGATAGGGTCCTCAAACATCAAGTCCCTTTTTGGATGACAGAACGGTATGGGCATGGGCAGCCGGCCCAAAAGCCATCCATCATGTTACAACTGCGATGGAGAGCGCGCAGCCAGCGGATAAAGCTTTTGGGTTTTCCTTACACGCACCAGTTTACAGCAATTTGCTGATCTGGTTGGGCCTGTCAAACTAACTCTAAGCTGGGCATTCAATACTTTGCTGGGTCCCCTGTCAAGCGTCACAAAGATAGCACCTTGCACAAAACCATTTTGCATAGATGCCGGAAAATTAGGCTTGTGACTGACAACTTGTCTCTTCGAAAGTATCTGATGCAGATCCTGGGGTGTTGCCTTGCGCGGGTGGATGGACCCTTGGCACCGCTTCAGCAAGCAGACCGCTTGGATCTCTGCCACTGAGTCGGCCATCTGGCAGCCGTCCCAAAGCTGGTCGATCCAAATTTCTTTTCTGGTCAACCCTGGCCACTCTTGACATTCATCCAATTTGTGCCATGGATGTGGAAGCCATCAAATTTGAATGGTGCTGCCAGGTGAACATGTGGCTGGATCGCCCAGCAGCCAGACAGCCTAACAAAAATGCTCAGGACGCTTTCCGAAATCTTAGTTGGACGCTCCTTTCTGTCAAATACGGTTGGGATGCATCTCCGATGCTGCTCTTGCAAAGCTTGTCAGGCTCTCACGGGAGCGTTTTTGTATAACAATGACACCAAGCCCCCAATAAACTGGAACATAACATGTCTCCTTTCACTGGCTTCCACTGCCATGCTGCCCAAGAATGTGGCGAACGATGCAAATTTACCGGTTTGATCCCGGCTGCCACTGATGGTTGCATTTGAGCGCAACCAAAGTGCAACCAAAGATTGCCAGTGTGGTGCACTTTGCCCGGGCAGACTGCACCTCACTTTTCTTTGTGAAGCCCAGGAAGGGCAGAGGCCGCAGCAGAAAATTCATGATGAAAATAAATTCCTCATGCCTTTAGTCCGGCTTTCCACGCCTGTGCCTGGATCTTGTGCTTTTTAAGAAACAAATTTATTTCCGAGGGCCAACCTGTGATCCTTGCACTTGATGGTAGCCCGGCAAAACAGGAATTATACCTAAAAAGCTTCCTGGGCAGTCATTGCCCGGACACTGACAACCTTAGTGGCAGAGTGGAAGTTTCACATCACATACCGCGGCCGCCGGCGCGGGAACCCTTTTGCAAGCCTTGCTTGCCGCCAACGACGCTCAGGTGCCTGTTCGGCTCCTGATTGACAACCAAGCGGTGGTCCGCCGCTTGCAAGCAGGCCTCCAGTTCGGCTGTTGGCACGGTGAAATGTGTGGCTTTTGGAGCTTCATTGCTCGCCTCACATCTTTTGGTGTGGATGCGGGTACCGTCCCACCACAAAAGATATGATTGGCAGCCGGCCCTCGACCGGGGCCTCACTGCCAAGCAATGTAGACACTTGGTTCAGTGGCTGATGCTGCTGCAGTTGAAGTCACCGAAAGCTTGAAAGAGTAATTCTTGTCGCATAAACATGATATTTCTCAAGCTCACCAGTGGGCACGACAAGTTGTGGATCGCCAGCACAGCGTGACCTTGCCTTTCCACCAGAACTTGGTCCAGATCATGAAGTCAGCCGACTCGTGATTTGCTCCCTTCGCCAGAGCTTTTCCAGCTCAGCATGCTGTCAATCCACGGTGTTTGCACCGGAAGGTTGCAGCGAATCAATCAACCAATCAATCAACCAATCAATCAATCAATCAATCAATCAATGAATCAATCGGTCAATGAGTCAATCAATCAGTCAGTCAGTCAATCAATCAACCAATCAATCAATCAAACAACCTGTGCAAGATTTGTGGCGGTTATGTGAAGTCAGTAATGTACGAACATGTACATGAACGTTACTGCCCCACCCCCAACACCGTACCTGTGACGTATAGCTTAGCTAGCGTGGCACTGCGAGAGACGTGGCGGCTCTGTGAAGTTAGTAATGTATGAACATATACATGAACCACCCTGCCCGCAACCTCACTTTTGTGGGCCAGTATAAAAGATCCGTCTGCATAAACGTGTGCTATATAGGCTATATATAATTATAATGATAATAATAACAATAATAAGCAAATCCATAATCATAATCGTAATCATAACAACAATAATAATAGTAATAGTAACATTTAATAGTAATAATAAGGTAATAATAATAGTAATAATATATATGTGTGTGTGTGCGCGCGCGTACAATGTAGAAATTCCGACGGTACCGTTTTTGTTTCTGGACTGAGATATGATTTGGCGCGGCAGAAACTGACAGCAGCAAGTAATTGGAGAGGAGAAGGGAAGCTCTTGTAGAAAACATGGTCAGGTACCTTTTGCGATTCCGGACTAGCCGGATACCAAAGATATAGGGTTTCCATAATCCATATTAAACAAAAGGGAGCCGATTTTTGGGGATTTGCACGCCCACCTAGGTCAACTTGATTGGAGTCTCCTTTTTCAAGCCATGGCGAAGCATGTCCTGCAATTTGCTGGACTGCATGCTGCTGTTTGGGATGTTGGTGATACTTCACGTGGGCACTGTGTCTGTGACAGACTCCAACCCAGCCGCCAGCATGGCTATGGTAATGGTGTCTGTGGTCATCATGCTGTTGTCAATCCTGCTGAACTTGCTTAACGGCGGCTATCGTTATTTCCAGCAGAAATATCGGAAGCAGTTTCGCTTCTTCACCTGCCATCAGAAGAACGCAGCTGGGTCCATGGCAAGGTCCCATGGTTGTGCAAAATGTTGTGGCATCAACATCCAAATATGTTGAGCAGATACTGTAAGGATGACATGATGATTCATTCCAGAGTTGGGTTTTCCCATGCAGATAGTTCAAGGAGTTCCAGCCAAGGTTCTTGAAGATGGAACTGGAACTACGCAACCCTGGCACCAAGACCTTTATCGACTGTGATGATCTTACCGATCTCACAAGGCTCTTCAGCTATGTGGGACAGGACTGGAGAGGGTGAAATATAGGGTGAAACATGGTGAAATGTAATCCAAGGATCAGCTTCCCAATGTACTGAGGATTGCGAACCACTTTTTTGGGATGCACTTTTCGAAGATTTGCCACACTAATGAGCTCTGTGAAAATCTGCTGGCATATTCTTAAGAGACTCTTTTTAAAGAGACCGAAGCGCTCTTGCAAGACACTTGTGTGCGACACCCTGGGTAACCGGGTAGAGAAGTTTGAAGGACACTCTTGGAGGGCAGTCGGAAGACATTATCGCTGGGTGGACACCTTGGAAAACTAGGAGAAATCTTGACACAGAGGAGCTTCGACACAGAGGGTCTTTACACGCAGACGCTTTTACACAGACGCTTTTGCACGCACAAGCTTTTCAACAGAGAAGCCTTTGCACAGAGAATTTTACGCAGAGGCACCTTTTCACACAAAAGATTTTGCACAGAGAACTCCAGAGGAACTTTTTCCCGAATGCGTAGCAAGGGTTCCCGTTTCACTCTGGGGGTCTGGGGGTTGAGGGTGTGTTCGCTCGACGTTGCGTTTGTGGTCGCAACCATTCGCAACCGTTCGCAACCGTCCGCAACCGTTCGCGTGAGGACCGTATGGCCGTGCCTATGGGAAGTTTTACAGAGGTGGTCCTTTTTGGAGGTTTCAGACGTCTGGTTCTGCTTCGTTTCGCGTGGCAGGCGTGGCACTTCGTGACATTCAGACGTGTTCTGCAACATGTCGAAAGTCGTTTTGCGTGGCAGGCGCAATACTTTTGCGACGTTTTCAGAAGATGTGTTGCAGTTTTCGTGGCAGGCGCAGCACTTTGGACGCGTCCATCGTCATTTTTCGTGGCAGGCGCAGCACTTTAGACGTGTCGCGTTGCGTGTTTTTTGTAAATCGCATTGGCAGGGCTGCGTCAAGTGGTGACAAGGTGCAAATTCCGTGGCAGGCGTGGCATTTTCTCACATGTGTTGAAAATTGACGGAAGCCTCGCACGAAACATCGATTTTGAGGTTGCAAATTTTCAGGTTCTAAGGAAAACTCGTAGGAAAACGTCGATTTTGAAGCTGCAAAGTGTGAAAAGTGGAGGAAGTCTCGCACGAAATGCTCGTTTTGGTGCTCCCACCTGTCTCTTCTCGCGTGTCTGGTTTTCCCGTGGCCTCGCCGTGTCTATGGGGGAAGCTGCAAAACTTGTCCTTTTGTCATGTTGCCAACTGTGAAAATTGCCGGAAGTCTCGCACAAAATGCTAGTTTTTTTGCATGCACGTGTCTTGTGTCGAGTCGCTGGTTTTCCTGTGGCGTCGCCGTGTCTATGGGGGAAGCTGGAAAACCTCTCCGATTCGAATGTGTCCAAGCAGGTTGTCATGTCGTTTTGCGTGGCAGGCGTGGCACTTTGTGACATTCCAACCTGTTTGATAACGTGTCGAACATATCAAGCTTGGAGGAAGTCTCGCACGAAATGCTCGTTTTTTTGCGCCCACGTGTCTTGTCTCGAGTCGCTGGTTTTCCTGTGGCGTCGCCGTGTCTATGGGGGAAGCTGGAAAACATGTCCTTTTCGAATGTTTCCAAGCAGGTTGTCATGTCGTTTTGCGTGGCAGGCGTGGCACTTTGTGACATTCCAACCTGTTTGATAACGTGTCGAACATATCAAGCTTGGAGGAAGTCTCGCACGAAATGCTCGTTTTTTTGCACCCACGTGTCTCGTTTCGAGTCTCTGGTTTTCCTGTGGCGTCGCCGTGTCTATGGGGGAAGCTCCGTACTCCACACTCTACACTTTACACTCCACACCCCTCCACACTCCACAATTTACACTTTAGACCCCACACTCTACACTTTACACTCCACCCTTTACACTTTGCACTTTAGACTCCTCACTCCTCACCTGAGACTTTACACTCCACACTCCACACCTTACACTACACTCTACACTTTCCACTCCTCACTCCTCACTCTACACTTTACACTCCACACTCTACACTTTACACTCCACACTCCACACTTTACACTACACACTCCTTACTTTACACTCCACACTTCACACTCCACACTTTCCACTCCACACTTTACACTCCTCACTCCACACTTTACACTCCTCACTCCACACTTTACACTCCTCACTCCTCACCTGAGACTTTACACTCCACACTCCACACTTTACATCACACTCTACACTTTCCACTCCTCACTCCTCACTCTACACTTTACAGTCCACACTCCACACTCTACACTTTACACTCCACACTCCACACTTTACACCACACACTCCTTACTTTACACTCCACACTTCACACTCCACACTTTCCACTCCACACTCCACACTCTACACTTTACACTCCCCACTCCACACTCCACAGTTTACACTCCACACTTCACACTCCACACTTTACACTCCTCACTCCACACTTTACACTCCTCGCTCCACACTCCACACTTTACACTCCTCACTCCACACTTTACACTCCTCGCTCCACACTTTACACTCCTCACTCCACACTCCACAGTTTACACTCCACACTTCACACTCCACACTTTCCACTCCACACTCGACACTTTACACTCCTCGCTCCACACTCCACACTTTACACTCTTCACTCCACACTTTACACTCCACACTTTACACTCCACACTCCACACTTTACACTCCACACTTTCCACTCCATACTCTACGCTTTACACTCTACACTATACACTCTACACTCCACACTTTACACTTTACACTCCACGCTTTCCACTTTACACTCCTCACTCCACACTTTACACTCCACACTTTACACTCCACACTCCACACTCTACACTTTACACTCCATACTCCACACTCTACACTTTATACTCCGCATTCTACACTTTACACACTCTACACTCCCCACTCTACACTTTACACTCCACACTCCTTACTTCACACTCCACACTCTACACTTTCCACCCCACACTGCAGACTGGTAACAAGGGAAACATGTACAAGACTGTTCAAATATAAACTATTGCAGAAAGGTATTGTGCGTGACTCTATAACCATGTGTTTTGACATCTGTACCATTAACATACGTGTGAGCATTCGGGTTCGTGGGCTTCATCTTGTTTTTACCCACAAAGACGATTGCACACAGAAGCCTTACACAGGGGAGCTTTTGCACACACGCGCGTCTACACGCAGAAGCTTTTCCAGACAGAACCTTTTACACGCAGAAGCTTTTGCATAGAGAAAGCTTTACACAGAGGAGCTTTTACACAGAGAAGTCTTTGTACAGGGGAGTTTTTACTCACAGATGCATTGACACACAGAAGCTTTTACACGCAGACGCATTTACACACAGAAAAAAATTACACGCAAAAGCTTTTGCGCACGGGAGCTTTTACACAAAGTAGATTTTACGCAGAGCAACTTTTACACAGAGAAGTCTTTACACAGAGGAAGCATGGCCACACGGAAGGTTTCACCCACAGAAGCTTTTACACACAGACGTGTTTACACGCAGAAGCTTGTACATAGAGAAGCCTTTACGCACAGGTGTTTTTACACACAGAAGCTCTTATGCACAGAAGCTTTTACGCACATTTTGGCCCACAGAAACTTTTACGCAGAGGAGCTTTTACGCACAGAAGCTTTTACACAGAGAAGTTCTTACACAGACTAAACTTTGTGATGTTGCAAAACCGCAGTTTCACCCCAGTTTTTGCCGTTTGACCTTCATGTCGTGCGAAATGGTTGCATCTGCGATTTCAAAAAATCGCACTTTTACGTCACTTTCCCAATAGATCAGGTTAGGCAATTTCCTGCCGAAAAGGTAATTCCTTATCTTAGACCAAAAAATAACGATTCCTGGACCAGCAAACGAGCAGAAAAAAATGTTGTTTTAGTCAATGACCCTGTTTTTAGATTGTTTAGCCAATTGACCTATTTTGGGTCAGATCGGGCAATTCAACCCAAACGACCCAAAATGGCAGAAATCTGGCTGAAATCTAATTTTCATTAATTTTCTATGTGTTTCCATGGTGTCCCATCCCATAACGTCACTTTTTTTCACCATAGCTACACTTGTGCACTGATTGACCCCTGACGTGTTTGACTGGATCCATGCGGCCTGCGCTTTCAGGCCTGAGCCCCCGCTCTATTTTTTCTTTTATTCTTTGCAGGGTTGGTGCATTGTTCAGGGATTGGATGCTAATTGGCATAAATTTCAATGCTGTATGACACGTGTTGTTCAGATTCTGGCTCGCAAAGCTGTACCATCTGAGACAGGTGTGTGTTTGTCTGCGTGTGGGACTTCACGCATACAACTATTGAATTGGCGTTATTCGCAACACCTAAGGCAGTCATGTAAAACACGTATGATTCACAAGTACTCACGCCGCAGATTTGGGACAGCAACTCCCCGCAAAACAGCAAATCGTCAATTTTCAAGTTTTTTCGGACCAAAACTACCCCGCAAATCGTGCGCAAAAACCCGCAATTCGTACGCAAAAACCCGCAAACAACCGCAAATCAGGATTTCTGCCCTGATGTGTTTTGACAAAACATATTTTCTCGCAGCAAGGCTAGGTTTAAATGGCAAATTCTTTTGATTTAGCAAAGTGGGTCAGCCACTCGCAGACACACCAATAGGTTGATTGCTGACTGCATAGTTGTAGCCATTCTTGGGATGCTTTGCAACACACTTAGTGGATCAGATTCTTCTTCATGAGGCCCTGTTCTACGTTTGAGCAGGGGGTATAGAAGTGCTATTCAGTTAGGGATATCTTAAGATGATTTTCTTTGGCATGGCCCAGTGACTGAGGCTGGGGGTTTTGGCAGGACGAAGATCACATCGGAAGATGTTCATGGTTGTCACGTTCAAGTCACCACCTGCTTTTTTATACAACAATACAGAAGTGTTTGTACCTTTACCGGCAGGAATTGCTGAAGGTTGAGTGATTTGATGTGATGTGGCAAGAGACTCCACGTGTGGAGATAAGACATGGCAGAAAAGGTTGAGATCGGGCAGAAATGGCCCAAACTGGGCC